TGTGATTTTGTGTCCGAGCTAATCCATTCCTTTTTGGAGACAGGAATCGAATTTGGACAAAGCCAATGATTTGGAGGCAGCGCAGAGTGTTGGGACAGTGTTTCATTGTAAAGAACCTTTGACGATCTCTGATATATACTATGACCCCATTTGATACCTGAAACTCAGGGAATTTCGAGTGCACAACGCAATTTTCGCCTACCGGCACCTGGAAACTTGGCTGCAGCCTGTAGCTTTTGAGTTGAGGAATTAAACCTCAAAAGACTGTATGAACACATCTACAGATGCGAACTCATTCACGTGAATTCTAACTACACAACCACGATTTCCAACAGTTGTGTTGGTCCGACATTCCTACAAAGTGGTACGGGTGTCAAGCTGAAAAGGTTTTGGTGCTGTCTAGCCCAAGGTCAGCGTTGCGGCCGGTTTGATATGATGAAGATGAAGCTGAAGTAGAGGATCCAACAGCCCTTGAACTTTCTGACCAGTCCATACAAGACCTTATACAAGACCGCATACAAGACCTTGGTGCAGCTTTTGATTTGCTTCTTCAGATTCAGCTAAGAGCTGGCACAGGTTCATGACAGAATCGTCGCACAGAAGCTTGGACAAGGGACTTCCGGGAGGGTGCTAGCCTTAGCTATGATTGACACAGCTAGAGATTGCGATTTGATTTGTGAAAATGCGATGAGGATTGAGAATGTCGTCGTGCAAGGCAAAGGAAATGTTCAAGCACTTTCTTGTCGAATTGGTTCGAGAGAAACTCGAACAAGACATGGCTGCAGTTCAAAAAGCCATTTTGATCATCCATTTTGGCTAAAACACCTAAGTATTCTCCATTTGCAGCTAGTACTGGCACCATTATTCCAGTAACCAGCTCTGTTTGAAGCAATGAAGCGCAGCGGGACTCAAGTGGTCCTGCTAACACTCTTGTCCTCCGTGGCTGCCGTGAAGTTCCATGATGCTATGGTGGTGCTCAAACCGACCCCGGCTCCTGACAAGGGAGAGTTTAATGGTAAGGGCTCTCCGGAAGAAGAAAACCAGTTATCCACCATATTGCAGGGCATGGACCTGGACTCTTCTGGAGATTTGGACCTCAACGAGTTGGGTGAGTCATGTTGTTTCTTCTCACGTAATGTGCATACAGAAGTGACACCTGAGGTTTCTGCAGCCGGCTTGAGTGTCATAAACCGTGCCAGATTCAATTCTGGTAGTGGAGCGCTGCTCCTGCTGTAGGCTACCCGTGTGCCATAGGCGCCGACTCGTCGCTTCGACGACTGCAGGTTGCAGAAGCCTAGCAACCACGACATCTCCTTCTACACGTTTCCTTGCAACCCTCGACCCCGAGTTCACAAGCCGACAGGCGTACGAGACCACTACGAGAACCTTGCCTTCTGGCAAGAACCTTCCCCATCAGGATTCCACTTCTGCTGTGCTGGCTGCAGATCTTTGGACTTCCTCGGGGCCACGGCGGCGCGGCGGCCATCGGAGATCTTGAGCTACGGTCAGGTGACGATCCAGCCCGATTACACGATTCTCCGCATCTACGCCACGAAACTAGCATCACTGAAGGCATGGCTCAACCAACCACTGGTGGAGTTCTTCTGGAGGAATGGCGGAAGGACGTACCGCCAGGATGGAAGCCAGGTCTGGACAGCTACCCGCTGAAACTTTTCTTCTCGAAGCTTAAGCTCTGGTATCGTTGCTGCGAGGTCCCAGACGAAGTGGTTGGCCCTTTGATTGCCGGTCGACTTCAAGGAGGCGCACAGCGCCTCGCCTTGGAGCTCAAGCTGATCCGCCCCGACGGCGGCTACGATGCAGCCTTGGTCCGCTTATCGGTTGACGAGGTGCTTGACCCCAACGACGGTGTGACAATAATCCAGCATCACATTCCTTCTGGAGTTCAGGCATTCTGCAACGCGCTAAGGGACACCTACGGCGACAACGACGAGCAGCAGACCACGCGTGCCTTGGAGAATTTCTTCGAGTTCTGGCGACCTCACAGCCAATCGCTTCAGGAGTACGCCGCCGCCTGGGAGCTCAGATTGGATGAAGCCAAGCTACGTGCCGGCCTGGACCTCAACAATGTGGCAAAGAGTTATCTATGGCCTATGGCTGAAGCAGAGTGGTTTGTCGCAGAAACATCAAGATGACTTGAGGCTACAGGTTCAGGGCGACATGAGCAGGTTCCATGACATACGAGCTCTTGCAGTTCGGCTCTCGCATCGAGTGGACAAGGGCCATCCCACTGGCGACGTCTTCTACGACGAGGAGCACGAGATGGCCTCTGAGCAGGGCGATTGGTATGGATGGTCCGGATGGGACAACGACGATGACTTCTGGGCAGACGCGTGGTGGACCGAGGACGCTTGGTTCGCTGAAGATGGCTCTCCCGACGGCACGTGGTACCAGGACGAGGAGTACTACGAAGCAGAAGAATATCCTTGGCAAGGTGATCCGACGTCAGAGCCAGGTTACCAAGGTGAAGATCGTCCATCGTCATCGCAGGCGGCATCTTCGACGGACCATGACACCGAGGGTGTCTACAGCGCAGGCGGCGGACTATGCAAAGGATCCGGCCCTTTCGGATCAGGATGTCATGTGTGTGGTAGCAAGTGGCATCGTGCAGCAGACTCTCCTGTTCAAGGAAAAGGAAAAAGGCAACCGGGCACGTATCAGGGCTCACGTGGCAAAGGAAAGAACAAGGGCAAGCCATCGAAAGGAAAAGGCAAGGGCAAGTACAAGGGCAAGTTCTCCCGAAAAGGACGAGGAAAGGGATGGTCATCGAAAGGATCACCAAAAGGTTCGTGGAGCTCACCAGATGGACCGCGATCATGGATGCCCAGGTACTTTGCCAGCGTCGACGAAGACTACGAGGACGACTGGGAGCCAAATCAACTTCGCCATGCTCGTGTTGGCCTTTCTCCGCCTAAGGATCCTCCAAAGCCCGCTCGCAGGACTATGTCGCAGACACCGGCTACGAAGTACTTTGACATTGGAGACTCCAAGAATGGCAATCGTTATTTTGAAGACCTGCTCACCTTGGAGCGCGCTAATAGGCCAACGACTGCTCCTACGTCGACGAATGCCGAGTCCACTGATGGCCAGCCTGACGCCATTCAGGAGTCCAGTGCCACGATGCCCACGAAGACCCTGGAGTTCTTCTTCCGCAAATATGTCGACGATGAGGACGATTCGCCACGGCATCGCACGTACCACGAGCAGCGCAACGGCAACGATGTGTACCACACGTTCAATGGTCGCAGGCGACGTGGCTTGATCATTGACCCTGGAGCTGCCAATGGCTTGGTTGGTTCGGAGACCTTGCGGGACTTGCTGCAGCACATCGACAAGGCGAAGGAGGTCAATGACACGATAGTCCAAAAGTGACGACAGTTCTGCGTTTCGCGACCAGGACTCCTCCGATCCCTGTGATTTGGCACTTTTGTAACGCAAAGTCCAAAAAATGATGACAGTTCTGCGTTTCGCGACCTTTTTTTGCAATTGCCAAGGATGCACCACACTCTCCGACACACTCCGCAAGCGCTTGCAAACGCTTGCGGACGCTTGCGGACGCTTGCGAACACAAACGCAACGACTTTTGGTCACCTCCTGGACCGCTGGACCACAACCTTAAAACGGGAACCCTTCAGCGGAGCATTCGGGAACACTGCAGCCTGAAAGAGGCCAGCCATACTGGTGTTGATGCATTGCAGCGGAGATGCATGTAACATCTACAGGTTATTTAATGCGCGATGGTGACGTCCTGCCCCCATGGTTCTGTTTCTTCCTGCGCAGCGCTTGCATTTCAACCGCACGCAGACAGCTGTGAAGGTGATTCCTTGTGGGGATTTGGCGCTGCACATCCTCCGCACACCTGGTCACACGCCAGGTGTTTGGGCAAAACTGTAATCCGTTACATGACATAGTCACAGGGTCAGCCCTCGGTTCGATTAGAGTCGGTTTTAATGAACCTAACTGTTTGTTCGTTCACGGTTTCGCTTTTCGGTTCGGTTCTTAATTGGTCATTATTCAGCGGTTTATGGCTGTCGGCGTGAGAAGCGCTGCGCTATCGCCGGCGCGGGACCGGGAGCGACCCAAGAAAGCCGCTTTTGTCAGCGTTTCGGGCTGCAAGAAACGGCAAAGCGGGGGGTTGGCACCGTTATGCTGGGTGCGAGATCGACCCAAAACTGTTTTTCGAACGGCTCAAGTCGCTGCATTTTCTCTTCGAATCGGCTGCAAAGCTCGTCGTTTGGTGCAACCTATACGATTTCTGCTGCATGATATCACACGTTGGCAGGCATTGGTTGAGTCACATCTTCTTGTTTCAGGGCCAGAATGTCAGTGAAGTGGCTGCTGAATTTGCGGCCAAGCACGTCCTGACTCCGGTGCCTTGCATTTTTGAGTATGCCAGCAGACACAATGGATGTTGGTGAAAGGTCCTGGCACAGAAGCTGCACACGCTCCTCCGAGAGGCTGATGTGCAATGCTGCATGCGTGCAATTGCTACATATTGCTACATTTCTGAAGACGCTTGAGCTTTCCTAGTGATCTGGGTCTGGGCCTCTGTTGCCAAGTCAAAGATTCGTCGTGGCAGGTTGTGCTAAACAGGAGCTGCAGAATCAAGCAAGGTAGCTGGTCTGAGTCAGCATGTCTGACTGTCTGACCCTGCCGGGATTTGATTTTGAAAGCATGGGATCTTGCATTGCCAACAGCAATCGCGCATTGTTACTAATTCCGACTGCCGGCCATCCTTCAGTAGCGGTTTGATGCGTCATGATACGTCTGCCGTTCAAGAGTTATGCGCCTCTATCCAGAGCTACGTGCCTGCGCTTCTCACGCGTGGAACGGGCGGCTGCAAAAGCTGCCGCACCGTAGCTTTGAAGTATGTGGCGGTGTAGATGCAATGCCAGCTGAGTTGAGGCCGGCTATGCGTTGCGCCCCTTTGCCAAAGCATCTTGTGTCAGTGTTTAAACACTGATGTTCGATGATCAGATTTGCTGGATCCATCCCCCCTGCTTGCCATAAAGAAGCGACTTAGACACTCCTGCAGAGAGTCCTGCGGCGGCGTACTTTCTGATCATTTGCGGAGTTGTAGATATTCTCCAGCAGCAATGACGTTGGCGCTTGTTGTCAAAGTTTGTGTGAAATTCTGAGACGCGGAGCATTTGTACTGAACACTGAATAGACCAGCTGGTACAACATGCGGCAACTTTGCGCTTGATTGTTGGAACATGCATAGCTCAAGCGAAAGACGAAAACATGGCATTAGATTGCCATGGGGTGATAGTGATGTGCAGCTGCTGGCAGATTTACGCCAATGGTATGATGCCAGGGAACAGTGTAACAGAGCTGCAACGTCAGGTTTCTGTATCCGAATGTCTATTGCTGTCCCAAGCCGATTTCGTGATTAGTCCTTCAGATAGTAGCAACACTCCTTTGCCGATGGCTGTGTGAATCTCAGTGAGAAATCTCGCATGCGGCTGTCCACAGACAGCTTTGCTGCTCATCGCCTCAGGTTGTCAGCAAGATGGCGCGAGGCAGACGCGCCCCAGTGGCGATGGCAGGCCATTCGGGACTGTAGAGTTGGACGTCGAATAGTCTTGCCTAGGGCATGGGTGTGCATGTGGATATTTGAATTTGAGCTCTGTATCGCGCTGTCAACCAACACGAAGAGAATTATCGCTGGATTTCTGTGAGTCAAGTTTACAAGGTGCAGCTGCCGCACTTCTCGCCGCGCCCAGCTTTGTTGCTCCTGGACACGGGGCTCCGCGACAGTTGGAGGTGCTTTTCTTTGTTTTCTCCGTCGCTGCCATTGCTGCGTGACGCAGCGCGTGCCTTCTGTTACTGTAGGTCGAGGCCTCCAGCCGTGCTGTCGCCGAGAACACCGGAGGTTCAGGAGCCTCAACAGCCTCAGGGGCTGGAGCCGTTGCGGGAACTGCTGCCGCGGCTGCCGGTGCAATGGCTGCCTCGGGCTCTCGCCTTTTGGCTGCAGAAGCGAGAAATGTGTCAGCTTTAGTTTGGTGTGCGCGGCGCAGAGGTCGCAAGCCATTGTCCAGAAACAAGACCGGCAAAGCTGCGCTTCCTGGCAAAAACATGGAGCACCACCAGCAGGACCGGGCACTGTCAAAGGTTTGGCCAAGCCTTTTCTGACTGTTGCCAGGTTGTAGGCTTTGCCAGGCTCTCCTGGGGAAGGAATTCCTTAATGGTTTGCAACTCGTGTCCCTGGGAGAGCCCGTCACTCCTAAGATCTGTCCTTTTATGGGCTTCGGGGATGTCCCAAGTTGCGATGTATCAAGAGCGAAGCACGTGTTCGCTGAATTTCAAGGAATGCTGCAAGTGCAAGGAGGAAACAAATGGCTTCGCCACAT